ATTTCCGTGACTTGGGGTTTGTCAGACTCTTGAGCCTTACTTCCTCACGGGTCCCTCTCAGGACTGACTGGGGGAGATAAGAAGGGAGTGCACGTCCGTCCCCTGACCGCGGCGAGATTCTCCACCCAGACCGCCCACCCCCGGCTCTTACAGCGGCTCTGACCCCCGGACAAGCTTTCTCCAGGCATTTGCCAACCTGAAAGGCTTTATGTTTAGGTTCAAACATGGAGCTGCATGAGTTTCAGCAACAACGCTCCTTTTCAGTGAAGAGTAGCAGAAGTTACCACCCAGCAACTTCGGGTAGCGTGTAAAGAAGGAATCCAGTGCCGGTAGAGATCACAAAGCTTTCTCCAGATTTTGCAGGCTGCACGCAGTCGACCCCCCTTTGCCTCAGGGGTGTCGATGCCAGAAGAACAGGGTGCTGAGGTCAAGACAGAATGAGGTCAGATGCCAGCTCCGGAACCTACGACTGCACAGGACAGACGTTTCAGAGAGCTGGGTTCCAGCTCTGCCTTTACTGTGTGGTCCTGGGCAAGTTCCCTAACCTCTCTGAGCCTGGAGTCCCTCGTCTCTAGAACAGAAGCAGCAAGAGTACCTGCCACGGGGGTTTACTGTGGCTGAAATAAACGCAAAGGGCTGGCCACAGTCCCTGGCACAGAGCTGGGGTCCATGTGGTCATTGCCATATGGGCGGTGGGCCTTGGGCACGTGCCCTGAATCTCCTGGGCCCCAGATAACTCCTCTGGGAGATCAAGACGGTAAGGACCAGCTCTTCAGAGTGGTTCCGGGAGTCAGTGAGGAATAAACCACCCGTCAGGCCATCAGCAAGGTGTCAGCAAGGCTGTGTCCTGCCGAATCCACTCTGGCCCTTGCCAGCCTCTGGAGGTGCCCACATTCTCGGGCCTGAGGCCCGTCCCCTCCCCCACCTCCACACCCAGCGATGGCAGACGGGACCCTCCTGCCACATCTGACCCCCTCTTCCTGGTCTCCTCTCCCTCTGAGGTTCTCTGCTGACAAGGACTCACACGACAGATCGGTCTGCCTGATGGCTGGGGATAACCTGTCATCTCAAGGTCACACGGCCACAGTCCCGGGCTGGTGCATAGTCAGTGCTGGCTGAAGCTGGACGGGGTGGGGCTGAGGCCGCGATGTCCCTGACCACGTGCCACTGGCCATCAGAGTCTGAATCCAGACGTCACCGCTTGGTGTTTCTAGAAATTTGGGCGCAGGCTAAACCCCCTCCTCTCTCCGAGCCCCAGTTTCTCCGTATGTAAAATGGGTAAGGCAGAAGTACCCCCCCCCGCCTTCCCCTGCGAAAGGGCTGGCATGAAGCCGAAAGGCAGGTCAGACAAAGTAACGCCCGGAATCAAGACAGTACGGGAGGGGCGCCTGGGTGGCGCAGTCGGTTAAGCGTCCGAC